AGAAGGAATCCATCTCCTGCTTTTGTGTGTGCATGTGTATGTGTGCATGTGTGTGCGTGCATCAATTCGTTTTTATATTTGGGACAGATCTGTGGCACTGAATTACCCCTGGGCCATAATGAAAGGCTAAAGATGGTATCCTTTTTACCTCGCTCAGTGGAATGACTTTCATGCTTGGCTGCTGTTCAATTTTATCTCCAGGAGTTGCTAGGCGACAAGAACATCCTTATTGCAAGTGTATTCTGGGAAATGTTGAGGCTAACAAATGAATTCTCCGTAAGTTATCTTCTGCCTATAACGCTGTGATAATATGTTTCAATGAAATGGAGGGCTGTAAATGGATCATCTTAACTATGCAGCAGTGGATGTATTTAATTAATAAATAAGTTGTGCAGCAACATTAATTTGGTGCTTGAATTAATGCTGATTATTCTCAAGGTCATTAAATGCAAAGTGTAAAAAATGGTGCAGATTATTAGTTCTGTCTTTATCGCTCGCAGTGTGGGGTCCTTTTGTTTTTTTCTTGAGAAGCTCTCTGTCACCACATGACAGATATCTTTGTAATAAAACAATTTACATTATTTTTTATGTATTTATTTTTGCTGACTTCCAGGAAACCCATATTTACCTTTGCCCTAAAAACGTACATGCATTTTATGAAAGTTAATATTAATGCACCTGAGGATGGACTTGATTGATTAATTTGATACTTTATGTCACACAATTAGACCTAATTATAAAATAAGAGCCTCAAATGAGTCTGTTTTAGTCATTTGTCCTTGCTGTCTCCTGCCAAACATTGAACAGTCTCACAAAAGCAAATAAACCATCTTGTATGAAAATGTGCCCATTACCTCAAAATGCCAACATTTTGTTAATCATACAATTAAAATACAATCTTGTGCTCAGAAGACATTCAGCTGGTGCTTTAAATGTCCTCCTGCTGCTTATTCAGCAACACTTTTGATGATGGAAAGCTTCAAATGATCATTTATGGCACGAAATTGAGACAAAACTTAACCAAAAACACTGTTGGAGTGCAACAGGAACTTACAAACGATAAAAATAATCTCAAAGGAAGCATGATAAAAATAGTTTATCGTTTCTAGTGGTGCCATTTCACAACCAGCCGGAGCAGCCCACATGTCAACATTGTTAGCGACACATCTGGAGGCAGCTGAAATTCTGGCTTTTAGGAGCCAAAGATATAAACATAAATCCAGTCACCGGCTGTTTGGTTTTATTTTTGCACCCTGAGAATGTGCCATTAATGCTGAATAGATTAGGAGTACTCCTAGCAGGCTGAGACTGAAGTTAGCCTGGCAAGTATTTGTTCCAAGATGTTTTAAGGAAACTCAAAATAAAATATCTGCAACAATCACTGACCAAATGTTAGCACAATTTAACATTGTTTTTTTTTGCACACCGGTCTGAGGGTTATTTCAGCCGACAGTACATCTGCTCCAGTGAAACAACCACCAAGAAATAAGCTGATCACACTGTGCAAAGAACTTAATAACCTGTCCGCCTCACTTAAATAGCCACGGGTTTTGATTTCCTATAAATCCTTTGTGAAATTTCAATTACAGCATCAAAGCTGTGATCTGCCCGCAGAGGGACAGGTTTGTTATTGCAGAGTCCGACGGATGGTCAGCGCAGCAATTTTGTCAGAGAGTTCATTAACACCATAGCTGTCATCATGAATCCTTCCACACCAGTGAGTGTGGTTATGAAGCATCACAGTGCAGGTTTTAATGTTTTTGTAATGCCCCTCATCACCATAGGGGGCGCTGTGTTGTCAACCCCTCAAAGCCAAAACCTTTTTTTCTTCACATTTATAATGAAACCTGCATCAAATAGCCAATAAGCCATCCAGCACAAAGGCTAAAGGTGGTGCCCTCTTTGCCTCACGTTATGGAAGGATTTTTATGCTCAGACGCTGTCCAATTTTATCGCTGGGTGTTGCTAAGCGACAGGAGTATCCTTAGAGCGTGAGCAGCCTGAGAAAAGGTGATACCATGAATGAATTCTGCAGCTGTGTAACTTATTATTAGCCCTCCACCCTGCTGTAATGTGGGTCAGTGAAAGAGAAAAATGCTATTCAAATGGGCCATTGGTGCGTTTAGCCAAATCATTTCAGAATTTGTCCTGCCTAAAAAAGCAGACAGATTGAGGTTAAATGTCTTGGCTCAGTTACCATAAAAGGCAGAATGAGTGTGGACTAAAATATTTTATAGCATATTTATTGCATCAGGACACAGAAGCACATTTTACATTTTTATTTTTTATTTTTACAACAAAAGACCAAATCTGCAGTTAAAACAAAATATTCTTAACTTGTTTGAGCTCAATATGCCAATAAAATGTCAAATATTTATATTTTGATGTTGTTCTTTTAAAGTAGAAACATAAAAAAAATGCTTGACTAAAAATGTGCATTACAACAAATTAAAGCATAATTAACAATATAAGGAAAGTAAACATCATTTGTTGAAAAAAAAACTAAAATTCTGCACAAAAAGCTACTTTAATGACTCTATGAAACTATATCTGCAAACGTCAAGTTGAAAAATGCAAATAATGAACATTTGCTCAAATCTAAATATTGATGTTACATGTTAATGCCATCTAATTTGTTCTAGAATTGAACCGTCTGCTCAGCCCAACAGGCAAAAGCTTACGCTTGTGTGTAATCACAAAATTTTATCTCGACATGTGCAACAATAGATTGCACATGTTAAAATATGTGCATTTTATAAATGCAACGTGTAAATCATTTAATCACATTTTACATCTATTACAAAAGCAGAACAAGGAGTTGGCGTCTACATTAAAAAGCTGACTAGGTTTTATAAAAAAACAACAATAATTCGTGTTCAGAGGATTGTCTGTGACGCTGCAGCCGTGAAGTGTGTCACAGTATCAACAGATATCAGACACGGTGCATGGTGTATAAAGAAAAGGACAGAAGTCTTCATCCAGTTAAAGGCTGGTCAATTAAGGGAATATTACATCACTAACAGCATACCGGCGTAAAACTATGCTTCAGTGGTAAATATTAAACTACTGCACATTTGACTCCATTTGTTTAGTTTGTCATGGTTTCCTCAGCCAAACACCAATCATGCTACTATGAAGACCATGAATGTGTTGATGGTGCTGAGTCTGTGAATGCATTAGTAAAATTAATGTCTAATTTGAACTTATGGAGGGGAGCAGTGGTACAGAGGAGAAAGAGAAGAGAGTCTGATCAGAAGGCGCCTGGTTGGAATCCCACAGACCATAACATCAAAATGTGAATGGGAAAGGTGACACACCCACATCTGCTTCCATATTCTTTTGCCACACTCTGGGCCCTTGAGCAACTTCCCCCTCAGCCCATATCTGCTTCCCCAGGCACTCTAGATGGCAGCCATCTGCTCCACATGTGGGCTGTGGTAGCTTGGTGGTCTGTGGTTACATCAGGAAGAGCGTGAAACAGTTGCCAAATCCTCAGACAAGTTTGTGCACCGATGAAGGGAGCTGTCAAAAGGAAAAGTGACTGAACCTATGAATTTAGAAAGAACACATCCATCCATCCATCCATCCATACGTCCATCCATCATCTTTTTCCGCTTCTTCCTTTTCAGGTCGCGGGGTATCAGGTGCCCATATCCAGCTGCACTGTACGAGAGGCAGGGGACACCTGGACAGGTCTCCAGTCCATCACAAGGACACATGGAGATACACTAAACAACTATATATATATATATATATATATATAGTTAGCTGGTTAGTTATCCAATAAATCAAAATCTCAGAAACAGCTAAGTACTGTTACTGAACATTAACCAAGTCCTTTCTCTTATTGACAGAAACTCTCTGAGTCCACACCTGTCTAATGATGTTGTTACTTTAATAAATCTGCCACTTAGTCGTGCTTAAGTGAACTTTAAGTATGGTCAATAGAAGAAATAATGTTTTTAATTTAATACTTTAATTTGTGGCCATGGCTATGAAGCTCTTCAGAAACATTTGTTGTGCACACAAAGTAAACACTGCATAAAAACAGTCAGCTAAAACATTATACTGGATCATGAAAGATACATATCTCATAAATGGTGCAGCAAACTGGATTATGTGAGTCCAGTCAGAGCAGCTAATGGATGTTGTGGCGTACTGGGAATAAGGCCTGCTAGCTGAAATGCTAGCCTGCCAGACTCTTTCACCAATGTTCTCTCAGAAATAAATCCCTGTTGCACTTAGTACTCATCCATTTTTAATGCCACGGTCTCAGCTGGAGGAATACATGAACACAGCTGAAAGTCGAGGGTGTTTTATTATATGCAAACTAACATCAGAAGGGTTGGAAATACTAAACACAGTAAGGCCATTCATAAACTAATTACAGCCTTTCTCCGTTCATTATTTCCTTAATTCATGGGACATTTGACGCCATCGAGCTGCAGCAGTAAGTCATAAGCACTCACAGCTGCTCGGTTGTGTACAACTCGGACCTTTTTGCAGAAAAACAAGCAGCAGCAGCAGCAAAGCTTCCTGCCTGTCTTTGAGCCCCATAATATGTCTGCAGCAGCCATTCCACAGATGGCAGGCGGAGAGGGCCAGCGATTCAATCCACTTCAGTGCAAACATGATCCGTCCCAGCACAAGCATAAGCCAAGACATTCCTGTGTGGGCAGACCTCCCTAAACAACAGCGAACAACTGCAGCACTGTGTTTGTCTTCTGGAGATAAATCTGGGATATGTGAGAGCAACAGAGCAGCTTGAGTTTGACCAAAGGTTAACGTGACGTTTCCCTCTGCTTGGAAGAAGCTCTTCAAAGAGTCTGTTAGTGAGTGAGCCATTAACGGAGCAGAGTCAGGCTTTACAAAGCCGCCTCTTTGTTTCTCATCGTCTCTTAACCAGTTTGTCTAAAAACCAGTTGCACAATCTGAGACTTTTACACAACTTGTGTTTTTGTGGAAATCTTCGCGAGTGAACAAACAAAACACAACCAGAGTTTCAAATAGTCGATACAATTTTATTTCTCTAGTGAATTCATGTTATTCTGCACAGCAGCATACAGTCAAATATTGTAAAATATAAATAACAAAGTTCAACAGTGTTTTTTTTTAAGTCATTTAATCAAAATCTGTTAAAAGTGGCATTTTTTTCTTCAATATCCACTCTCTTACACTCTCAATGCAATATTGGACATCTAATCTTTAAAAAGTGTGGGCATATTCATTATTTACACACAGTCACCCGTGGGTGAACTATGCTTATAGCTTCTGGAAACTCACTTCCATTATGTTAAATGCACAAAAAAGAAAATAAAATTATGTTATACAAAGATCAAAAATACTATCAAAACCCTTATTATAAATGGCAGCACTATATCAATAAACTGCTGTTAACATTTTACATGTAAGTACAAAATCCCGTTGAGGTAGTACCCTCTGAAGTCACTTGTAATGTTAAAATACTGGAAAAAACGTGTTTTATTATTATTTTTTACAATACAGCAAATCTTTCATTTGTCTTCCACAGTTGTACTCCTTTGGTAAACAAAACTGTCATCCTGCAAGTGACACGTTCAATCATACATTCACAACATGTTTGCATCTTTTTTTGGGATTCTTCAGGTAAGAAATAATAGAATTATTGTTTACTGACATTCATTTGCTATTTTTCACCCCTGCAAGGTAAACAGGCCTCAGTCCAGCTCATTTAGCAGAGCAGACCTGCCCATGAGCCTCTCCAGGGAACAGTCAGGACAAACCCAAACAAAGGAACATGATCAAGACCTGACAGGGAGAAACTAAAAGATCCAGTGTGTCACCCTCTTCTGGGAATGTAAACATAAAAAAAGTAGCTTCTTCTTGTTTTTGATTGTTTGTGACGTCAAACTTTGCCATTTATCAAAACAAATGTTTGGCATCAATTCACGTTTCCTCCACTCAGATTGAGCAACTTTTAGAGCAACTCAGAAAATGTGAGTTGTTTCAGGGAGATGAGATCAGAGTTCCTCCAGTCGGAGTCATTAATGACACATTCTCAAGCTTCTTTAATGGCAAACATAACTTTGGTTTTCTAAGACATGAAAGAAATTAGCAGGGGGATTAGCTCGCTGTACAAAAATACTTGGCAGAAATAAGCTACGACATTCATCCCCTGTGACCGTGTCAGTGTAATCCCCCTACATGAGCAAAATACTTTGAATAAAATGTATTCACACCTTTTGATTATTCAAACAAATGTGTATTCATATGCACACTCTCAAATGACTACAAACTATAATGACAGAAGATCCAAAGTATAAAGCATAAAGTTATTCTATGAGGATAAAAGAACTATAAAAATATAAGAAATCTTATAGAAGGAAACGATCAAATCATCAGTATGTTTATGAAGCCAACATAAAACAGTCATCTGGAAATTGTTCAGTGCAATTCAGTTTACTTTATGGTCTCAAGTTATTTAAAATATTTTCATCCTCTTACCGCCCACAGCCCTCCCCCCCTTTAATGGCCGCTGGCACGGCTGCTCTTTAGACAGTGGACAGTATTTGATGGTGTGGGCATTGTCCCCGTTGGCACTGCACAGGGGGCAGGTGTAGGCCCTCAGAATCGGACACACGACCCTGCCGTCCGGGGTTTTCAGGACGTGGGAGCCGAACACCTCCTCGGGCGCGCCGTTATTTCGGCAGAACACGCAGATTTTGGGCTCCTGTTTGCACCTGGACGCGGGTTTGCGCATCTTCCGCTCCATGCCAAAGAGATCGAAGCCCGCGAAGCTCCCGCCGAAGCCCACGTCCCGCTCGGGCAGCTGGCTTTGGAACGGGCTGAGGATGGAGAAACGCTCCTTCAAGTCCAGGATGGAGGGCGGCGGGGGGCTCCCGGGCGGGCAGCAGCAGTCCATGTGTCCGCTCTCTCCGACGCCGCTCGCAATTACGCACGGGCACGCCGGGGAATCGTCCAAACCCAGAGTCGCCTTGAGCGACTCGGTGATGGAGTTGGGATTCTGGGGCATGCTCAGCTTATTGTTCTTCGTAACCAAAGTCGTCAGCCCCAGATAGTCGTTCCAGAAATTAAACGTGTAGTCGTATGGACTGCGCGCGCTCAGATAGTTGTGGTTGAGAAAATCCATGGCTCGTTTTGCTGCCGTCAGAACACGAAGCAGCCAGTTTAATCCGTGAAGAGTTCAGCTCCAGGAGAACTTCATGTACAGCGACGTGCACTCCAGCCGTCCTGTTTCCTGTGCGCGTCCTGCAAACACGCGCTCTGGTTTTATGGAGCTGGAGGGCGGGGCGCTCCCTCCTCGAACCCAAGTTTCAGATCGGGACCAGAACCCCCCCCCCCCCCCCCCATTTTCTTCCAAACCACATTTGGACAGAGTTGTTTTCCTGCAGGAAGGCTCTGTGGAAACATCAGTCACTCTGGACGTTTCATAGAAAAAGGTTTTAATAGTTAACGAACCTCCAAAAACACGCAGGCAGTGACTGATTTAGTTAGAAAACATGTTTAATTTATGAGGACTTTTTTTTTATTATCTTTGCTCCCTGTTGGTTTAAAGCACAACTGTTTTATATCACATGTTCAAGTGTATGTGCCAAAAAAAATCCACTTTGGAAACAAAAATATGAACTCCTTGTTTGATTGTTTTAAAGGAACTTGTTGCAAATAAAACAATCACCTCAGAAATAACCAAGAGCACTTTGAAAATGAACATGTAAAAAGAATCACCTCACATCAGTGGGTGTGGGAGGTAAACACGAGCTGCAGATCCGTTTTCAACAGGGGGCAGCATCCTGCACTTACTGCACTTTTATGTAACTGGTTTAAACAAACACAACAACACATATGGAGTTGTAGATGTTCACAAATAAAAACTAGAAGCCACCAGAATAATGCTGAGCAACACGTGTTAAACTCTTAAACTCTGACTCTGACTCTCTCTGACTCTAAACAGTGAGTACAATAAAATACCCAAACTTGGGCTGCTTCAGTGATTTTAGACATTAACGGCCAAACACCACCACACACACACCCAAATAAGTGAATGTTTTCATGCCAACTCACAGAACAAAAAAAAAAAAAAAAAATTGCGTTGACATTAATTATAAAGCCACTCAGCATGTCTTAGATTTGCCGTATTTAATTAGTAAAACAATAATTTTCATAATGAAGTTGCTGTAAGAAGACAGAAGTTTCCATTGTTGTGTGTATATAAGTGAAGCGAAGCCGTTTCTTAGGTAGGATCCAGAGGACGCACCAGGCAGCCATCCTGCACAGACCTCTCACTGTGGGCCTCTGATCCTGTGATTAAGTGGGCATCTGAGGAATGTGGAAGCAGCTCTCTTGAAACAACGATAGCACGAGTGACTGGTGTTCTAATTAAAACTTCCAGGGGGAAGGCTGCATGCAGGAACGCACTGACTTGGAAGCATCGCGTCCATTTCCAACAGATGTAATAAGAATGCAGTATCTTACAACGCCGAGTGATAAAAGCAGAATGAGTGCTTGGTTCACTGAGCTGCAATGTCGTGGAGGCTATTTCTTATCGTTTTATGTGCTCAGCAACTTAAACTGAAAGAGTATTGACTCCTCATTGGGTTTTCACTCCACCCTGCTGGTGCCAAATATGAATTTTATCCTAAAGCATTAATAATGCATTTAATCAACAGTTCTTTTTCTGCAAGCCAGTAGAGACTGTGAGTCGATCCCTGTGTTGCTGCAGTGCATCTGAAAAATTCATGCACACATTATCCCTTTATTTTGTTGTGACTAAGAGGAATTAATACTGTGCCATTAACTAAAGCTAATTCTGCTGCTGCCTCGAGGTTGCATGAATATATTCGACAAGGAAGTGAAATTAGCAGCGGAATGATGCATAACATCGGATGAAGGGCTATAAATCCATGTAGAAGTTACTCTGTTGTTCAAGAGTTCTTTGCATGGCTGGGAGAAATACAACGAAGAAGCAAAGCGGTGGTGATTTAACGAAGAAAAATCGTAATTCTGTGATCAGATCATTAAAGAAAACACAATAAAATGTCTGGAATGCAAATGAGCTCAAACATTTTGTTTAACCTAACAGTATAACGCCAGATTTATAAAACTTGTAAACCTTCACTGCTTTATGGCAACTGCATAAACGCTAAATTATCATTTATACTATTGTTTTTCTTTTTATTTGTGCATTATTTCAATCTGACTACTTCTGAGCAAAGCCCACGCTCAATAATCCAGGTATACAATCCAACATTTTTCAGTCAGGTCATCTGGACAACTTCTGCTTTCTTTAAGCTATTTTAGCCAATTTTTATGTCAACATGTTCAGCTTAGCCAGAAAATGGGTGGTACAACTTTTTCTTCAACTTTTCAACTTTTCAAAATATTAAACTTTACTTTTAGAAAAAAAGAGAATATTGGAATTACACGGTTCAGCTCCTTCAGTTACTGTTTCAGCTATTTTCTACTTTTAGCATTTAGCTAGTTTTTTTCATTCAACCTTTATTTATCCAGTTTAGTCTCATTGAGTCACGAGGACACATTTTCAAGAGCGACCTGTTTTAGACAAAACCACAGATGAGGTAAACACACAATAAACAACACTAAAATGCAAATGTAAATAAAAAGTAGTGTTTTAAAACTAAATCAAATAAATGTGCCAAATATAACAAGGTAAAACACTAAAATACTAAAAACAGGAACGTCTGCTTTGATTTTTCTATTGAACGTATCAATTGATTAAAATCCCATAAAGAGCTCAAAGTTAACAGCTTCAGATCTTGTTGCGAGGTGTTCCAGGTCACAGGAGCAAAGTAAGAAAAGACCTTTTTGTTCAGTTCAGAGTTCAGTCCACACTGAGGGGACGCTGCAGGTGACGATGTCTTGAAAGCGCACGCTGTAACTGCACTGACGACATGACGTGGGAGGAGATATAAGAATGCAGCAGACCAAGAATTGATTTATAGATGGAAATCAACCAGTGTGAGAGCCTTCATGCAGAGATTGATGACCAACTGACCAGTGAGTACAGGGTGCAGTGGTGGGTACGGTAGTTACAGCCAGTTATGAATCTTAGCGCACCATGATAGGCATCATCCAACATCTGTAGGGTGCTTGAAGGAGGATTCATGTAAATAATCTCAGCCTAGTCAATGGAGGGAAGGAAAGTAGCAGCTTCAAGGCGTTTCCTGGCATTCAGAGTTAAGCAAGATCTATTTCTGAAAAATAAACCCAGTTTTAATTTCAGCTTCTTTATCAAGTTTTTGACATGCAGCTTAAAAGAGAGATGCAAATCGACTAAAATTCCCAAGTTGCTATAAGAATCCACAAACTCCGTAGGAACACAGTGCATAGATAAGATAGGAGGAAGGACTGCTGGCACCAACTTTCTGTTTGAAAACAACATCTGTTTGGTTTTATCAGCGTTTAGCACCAGTTTGAGACGGAACAAGTCTGACTGAATGAAACCTTAGCAACTGTGTTAGCGCAACAATAAACAACTTTATCATCGGCACAGAGATGCAAGGAGGCGTCAGGAATGTTCCGACCTACATTACTTATATAAATTGTAAAGAGAGTGGGTCCTAAGACTGAGCCTTGTGGTACACCATTATTGACAGTTAATTAGCTATAAGTACCATTGTGTTGAACACATTGCTTTTGGCCTGAGAGATACTTAGATAACCAGATGATAGTGTGGTCTGAGAAACCAATATCTGAAAGCTTATAGCATAAGATGTCATGAGCTTCTGCATCACAATATCTTATGCCATAAGCTCTCAGATTTATAGTTAATCCGTTTCTTTTGTAGTGGATATTTTCAGAGAGCTTTATTAAAAGTCATCAACTGGTTCATAAGATATTTTGATAAGGTTTCAGACAAATGAACACAGACAGACCCAGGCGACATATTATACAAGAGGTTTGATTATTTGATGTGATAAATAATTTAAATCAGAGTCAGAGTCAGAGTCAGAGTTTTTTTATTGTCATTCGCACCTCATGTGGTACATGTGGTGGAGCGAAATTATGTACACAGGGTCCCAGTTACATCCAACAATAAAATGTATAAGAAAAACAGTAATAACATCTAAGATATGAACTAAGAAAAACATCAACTAAATATACACTAAGCACTCATAACATAAAACATTGAACATCAGCACAAACATGAACATGAGTCTGTGAAATGCTTTAAATGCTGTTGAAACTAGATTATATTCAATATTCTCATCAGTTAGCTGTATCACTGGCACATTTTATACATTTATAATAAATATGATGCTATAATCTCACAGGATCAACAGCGCATGTGTGAATTGTGGCTCTGGGAATACATTTGTTAGCTACTTCTCTTGTACTGGCCCTAAAAGGTGAATTTGTAGATAAATCATTGCATTGCTTTGCTCAAGGATAGTTAATAGTGGATGTTTCCTCTAACTCAATTAAGGCTGATAATCCAGGCCTCCACACAACCAGAAGAGCTCAGTAATACCCTTTTCATGTTTCCGGCACCCCTTCCATCTCCATGTTTACAAAGTGAACTATTGATCTCCGAAACAACACGTAATGGGTTTGTAAGAAATGCTGAAAAATCTTTTTTGCCATATTGATTGGTGTAATGAAGATGAATGCTGAATCACTCACTTCAAGAATGCCTCGTGCATTTGCGACCTGCATTATTCATACCTTCTGTCAGACCCGAAAACAAACCTGTTTTTGCTTCAGATGCATAGATTACCACGTGTTTTCATTCACAGCCATTACAGCTCTGCTTGTGATTATGCAAATGAGAGCGAGCAGGAAATTTAATCAAACCACAAATTTGATTTTATATGAAAGATTGCTGGAGGGTGGGAGTTGGATCGCAGAATGTTCGGCAACAAAATCATAGTTTTTTTTTTTTTTCTTCAGCTCGGACACAACACAGCTCTGTAGGTTTAGAGTTTGCTGCGGTTTAAAAAGCTTGAAGTAAACACCACTGCGGAAGATTTGATTATCCTTTGTTCTCCAGAGAGATGCTGAATGGAAACTGTAGTTAATGGGAAGCACTTCCATATCAGCAGCAAAGCACAACAGCCCGGGTTTTTGCATTTTTACTGTTGCACTCTCTGAACCTAAATATCTGAGCGCTCAGTTTTCTTTTGTTCGACAGCTGAGCAGCAACGAAACGAGCTCTTTTAATTGCACATAAACTCAGCTGATGCTGTTGTGTTGCATGTGCCTCGCAGATAACTGGGGATTACACTGAATGTTTGGAATGAAACAAAATGTTTCAGTCACTCAGAAAGGGCAGTCTTTAAAGCCACGTTCAGTGGAAAA